TAAGGTTTTTGCTGATACATATTTTGCCCTCTTCACGTTGTTGCTGGCTGGGATTAGCTTTAGTAGTGCTGGCATTTGGCGATGGTGAACGGCAATCACCGGATTTCTACATAAAGTTGTTCATATGTACCAGGGATGAAAAAGTAGGTACTATTGTACCTTTTTCCGACGTTTGATGACTTAAAGGTACATTAGGTACAGTCACTAGATTTAGGGTTCAATCATCTTTTGATCAGATGCATTGTTAGTTTTCTTTCCTTTACCGTGCTAATATATTTACTTATAGGCACGGGAAAAGTTTCGCTATCATTTTGAAGAATAAACAATTATAAAGAAAAGTGGTGGGTTGGCTTTCCTTTATGGCCGTTCGTTAAAGGGGCGGTGAGCGAATTGTAAGTGGGCGTGGCACCTCAAAAATGCAACCCCCCGACCACCTAGGTCCCCTATAGTTCCCTAGGGACCCCTTAGAAAAATTGCCAAAAATCACAATTTTCATTTGCGTTTATTCGCTTGAAAAATGTTAAATATTCATTTGCACAATACATTTTTATATACACATTTTTATATACAAGACATTTTTATAAAATACCCAGTAACCAAAATAGACATCACTGGGGCGGCAGCCCCACGTTTATCACATAGAAAGGGAATTCTAGTTACCTCATCCTTTCCCAAGATTACATTACTGGGGCGGTAGCCCCAGTTAGGTCACACAGAAAGGAGAATTCTACGTAGTAAGGGTTATAATCCCTAAGCGCGGCCGAAGGCCGCCTACGCAGAAAGGAATTCTACGCAAAAATACTGTGGACGCAAGTAAAAGTTGCGATTTTTGGCCATTTTTCTAAGGGGTCCGTAGGGAACCATAGGGGGCCTAGTTGGTCGGGGGTTGCATTTTTGTCAATGGCGGTTCATTCCCTCTCCAAAAAGGTGGGGTAGAGGTGCCACGCCCACTTACCTTTCGCTGACCGCCCCTTTAACGAACGGCCATAAAGGAAAGTTTTCCCATAGTGGTCAATAGGAAGAAATTAAAAAAGCAATATTAAGGGTATTCATCAAACCTTATAAATGCATTGTAAACCGTATAAACATATAATTGTGTAAACCTTATAAATGAACTGTCAAAATTTTTATGAAAACACGTTTACACATTTCTGATAAATTTATCCAGCGATTTCACTGAATAAACTTGATAAACTGAAGCCAATGCAACTCTGTCGCAACTCTAGCTATGTTTTCTTGGGCAATAATCGGGATCCTCATACAAATTTTGCACGCAAATTCAACAACGATATGATCCTGATAGAGATCTGGTTCAATTATTATCCCGTCTGTTTGTTTTGCTTCACTGATAATTTGGCCGCAAAGTTAGTGAGGTAGTTTCTATAATTTCTTTATCCCCGTGCTAGTAGTATAAAGTTAGTGATACTGAGCTCTATGACCAAAGAAAACGCGACTATGGTCGCATGTGTAAACGAAAAGAGAGTGTGGGTCGTTCATGTAACAGAGTGCGTAAACTTATAAGATCATCTGCTTGATAAAGTTATCGGTTTAGATGAATACCACTATTATGTATTATCTTAAACTTTTTACATTGCATTTAGACCAGCCACTACGAAAAATTAACACTTTACTTAGCTATCCTAAAATTCGTAGTTTTTTTTCTTCTATTGATTCAATGGCATTTACGGTCAAATGAGTGAAAACAAATTGTCAAATGGGTCTAAAAATGGTCTTTTGATTGATTTAGATCAGAATAGGCTTTCAAGCGTGTACATGCGCTGCTAAAGCGGTTATTTGTAAGTTTTTGGCCCATGGATAAAGGAAAGAAAGTTGTGTCAAAATATGTCGACAAATTTTCTTGTCAAAATATGACATAATAAAAACCAGCCTTTACTTGCCCATACAGTCCAGTGTGTAGGATGTCTTCAAATTTCATATTTTCTTTAGATGAGAACTATAGCTATTTGACCCATATTCGCTTTTTGATTTCTGAAAATACATACATACATATATTTAAAATGCTTTCGAAGTTACTTACGGCAATTTGATTATTTTCTCTAGACTTGCTGCACCTATTAAAAGGAAAAGGATAAATTAGCAGACTTTTCCTGTTGTTTTATAAAAAGCTGGATAAAGAAATATGTTTTAAAGTGTATGTTTTTAAAGTGGGTTTTTTTGTTTTTTTTCGCTAATATTTTCAGTAGACAAAAACAACGCTTCTACGATTCCCATTAGACTATAGTCTATAGATATAGGCCCAGTTAACAAAAAAAAAACATTATGTTTAAATTAAATCCGTCTTTTGTATTCCTGTTGTAAAAAAAAACTACAAATGAATGATGTAACTTTTTTAGACAGATTGTATCATTTAGGTACATTTATTTTATGATATTAGGTACAATCTGAAATTTCCATTTTTCATCCCTGATATGTACATATGTACATACATATTTACCTATGTACATTCATATGAATGCACGTTATCATACGGCAACGGCAGCCAGTCGCCGTATATTTTAGTGCTTGCTTGTTCGATTTGGTGGACTAGCGACTAGCTGTTGGCTTTTGGTGCTGCCATTCATTCGATAGTCGACATTTTGGAGCATGACATGACTTTACCGCTGTTTTGGAGCTAACATTTTGGTAATGCCCATTTATAACGCAAAGCAGTCGCCAAGAAGACAACATTTTTAGTTATAAATAAAGACCCATTAAAATGTTTGAGAAAGTAGCCAAAGTTTGAAAAAACCTGACTTTAGCTCTAACAAAAAAGGCATTTGGATATCTTTGGAAACACCTTCGAGAGCAAAAGGATCATAAGTTACTTTTCAATGAAAATAGTTTCCCCCGAATCCCAAGAGCGCATTATTATTTTATTAGAAACAAATTTTCGAACATATATACGCGATTTTTTGGCAACTTAAAAATTTTTTTATACTAAAAGTCAGTGCGAAACTGCATTTTCAAAAGTTTTCTAAAAGATCTGATTAGAAAGTTGCAAACTTATAGGCAAATTTTTTACATTTTCATGGGTTTTGCACAGAGTTTAGGCATTTTATTTTTTGTTTGTAGTATAAGCTACATACCGTTATCTCAGTATAGAAAGACCCTTACTCATATAGTCGCTGACATGCAAAAAAGCCATAACTGACTAAAATTGTTTATTGCTTAAAATGATTTGGGGACTTATAATACGATCAAATGCATCAAAAAGGTAATTTCGGATTTTGACTTAGTTACGGCCTTTTGTAATTCAGCGACGATGTGAGATAGGGCCTTTCTACATATATTAAGCTTCGAAAAAATTCAAATAAAGTACGTATGTACTATGTATGTTGCATACATTGTAAAACAAATTCTCTGTCAATACTTTCTTCCGGATGCATATCTTTTAAAAAAATTACAGCAAAGCCCTCACTAACTGAACCGGAAAATCCTGTCTTAGGGAAAGTTCATACATTTGTGGACATTTCCAAAGAGTCTTCTCTTCTTACGCTTATGTGAAGAGGCTGTGAGCAGAGTAATCCACAATCAAAGAGGGGAAGTGAGATTAGAAATTTGCATTCATTTCATTTTACTTTCATTCATTAAATCTTTGACGATGATGTATCCAATTCTAATTGGAATAATTACATTGGTTTTTCTTCTCTTCAACGCATCTATCTGGTAACGCTCTCGTGGTATTGTAGAAAACTGTACTTTGAGAAGAGCGGCCATCTTGCTCTATTTACAAAACGTATGCTCCCAAGCAATGCAAAAAAAAAAACCCACACTGCCACAGCAACGTACCGAACAAAATTTTCCTCCGTATAGAGGCAAAAACTTGTATTGTTAAACGAGCACGATAGTAAATTGGTCGTAGGGTTGCCGTAGAATAATTTACGAATCACTATTGAAATGAGAGATTTCAATATCAATTGTAACTTGGGGTCTATAAAGGACAATTGTACAAAGACAACAGCAATATATTCACACTTTACTAATAGATTCACACTTCTCTCATTGTCTTCGAAGACTGAAGATCTATATGTATGCAAATCTTTTCTTAAACTGTTTTTTCCTTAGTACTAAATTCAATTGAGATTTATTGTCATCTTGAAATGGGACTTGTAAGTTTTCCCTATTTGACTTAGAAATTTGTTTGGTTCTCTATCAAAACTTCAAATTGGTCGCTTAAGGTCAAGACGGGGACGTTATAACCGATAAAGTACAAGGAGCGATATTAAAAATTTGACCTCAAAATCATTCGCGTATTCTTCCAACAGAAAACTCCCAACAGCAAAATTCAAATGAAGTTTTATCTGTTCTCTCTCAAGGACAGAAATGTTTGCAAAAGTGCACGATCGCAAACCCAGCAAAAACTTGCAAGTTTAAGGTACAGCTGATCGGAATTTCGTTTACATACAAAAGCATAAATAAGAAGCCATGAAAGTATGCCTAAAGAAATTCGCTAAGCAAAAGTAAGTAAATCAATATTTGATTTCTTTCGAAACGTATACAGTTCTAATAGGTTATTTTGAACTTACAAAACTTCAAAATAATTTTCATAAATTGCAAACGGATGATTTTGATCAGCTGTTTTTTGTGCTGGTAAATTGCTGCTGGCAAAAATTTTTCCAACGGAAACAAGCAGCTTCTCATCAAAATTTTTGTCTCTCAATTTGCCCTACTTTGCTGAATTTTAGTGTACGCGAAAAGCAACATTTTTGTATTTTTCTCACTATGAACTGCCAATTTTTACATGCCATGCAATTTTAGAACAAAAATTTACTGCTACAAGTTTGTACGTTTTCAGAATTTTTTTTTGGACATTTAAATAACTCAACGCCAGGTAGCTCTACTCGACGCTGCCAACGTCAACAGCTCAATGCCTGAGACGGTGCAACGTCGGAGGTGGGGAAGTTCGTCGTCTTCGTTGCGGCTTTGTCATGCCCGCCGAGCGTACTTCGAGCGAGCGCCGAGAAGCGAGCGAGTGTAGCAAACGAAATTCGATCGAACTCAAATTTTTCAGTTGGAAATTTTCTACGTTGGCGAGTAGTCGTGAGCAACAGAAATTGTGAAAGCAGAAGCAGCAAAAGCAGAGTTTTGGCTGGCTGGCTGCTCTGTGAGATTTTCATCCATATTAGAGCCCACTCTGAGAACAAAAATAAATTCAGAAGATTCTTTCATAGATTTTGTAAAGCGGGAAACTTTAAAAACAGAGACATAATCCGCAAGTGTTTTTTGTTTGGTGTTTATTATTTACAAAGTGAGTGTGAGAGTGCAAATAAAAAGTGGAAAAATAAAATAGAAATTAGCAATATTGGGGCAAAAGTCAATGCTGTAAATTTTGTCTAAAAGAAAACCTAGAGATCGGCATCCTTTGCTATACTATTTAATACATATGTATGCTACTTATTTTTTTCACTTTAGTTTGCTGCTTCGCATTGGAAAAACTTAAATTTTGTATCGTGGCGCTGGTGCAAACTGTACAGCTTATAGACGTATAAGCATTCGCAAAAGTGGCGAAGAAAACCATTTTTTTTTGTACTAGTGGGTTGCCTTCTCGTGTGCCTGTTGGGGCCCATCAACTGCAAGTACTTTTGGCTCCAAACCTCCGTACGCCTTGCGCCAACGCAAAGTATAATGAATAATTATTTCAGCAAATTTTCAAATGTAAATTATCAAACTTGGATTATAATTGCTAAGTAGGCACTTTGAGGCGATAGATAGACGCATATGTATAGTAAATTTAATTTGCAAATACATACATTTAACAAAATATCGATATGTTTGGCGTATTCGGGCGTACACACACAAACTCGTATATGTACCTCCCATTTCCAGCTGAATCAACAATCAGAGGAGGGGAGCGTACACTCTTGATTACGTCGGCAAACGACGTTTGTGTGTGTGTTTTGTACTCTGCCCAAGGCAATTGTTTTTTTTTCAGTCTTATGAGTTGGAGCGAATGAATTTAGCTAGAGACTTTGAAATTGTTGTTGCTTCTTGCTTGCGTCGACGTGAGCACTGCGCAGTAGAATATCTTTTTTTGCAGCAAAGTGAGTGGGGCCCAGAGCAAGTTAAAAGCAGACGTTCAATTGTTCATCGTTTTGCAATTGCTTTTAAATAAGAGCGACAGAGAGGGTGTGAGAGAGTTGCCAGCGACGACTTCATCGTATCCGTATGTAATTCAAGCCAACATTTCCCCTACCAACAGGCAAGCAGCGAGTAAAGTAGAGCGCATGAGAGCGAGTGAGACATGTGGATGCACTCGCGTTGGCTGGCGTCAGCTCGCTGCTTACGTCAAAGATAAGCAATAGGCGAAGTCGGTAGGGGCGTGGGGGCATTGGAGCCAGCATCGGCCTTTTGAAATTTCACTTTGCGCTTTCAGGTTTTGTACAATGAAAATGCATCAAAAAGCTAAAGAAAAAATTTAACACAAGCACAGTGGCAATGTAGAGAAAATTGTTAGAGAAATGTATGCAGGTTATATGGGTGGCAAGTGATAGGCGCAACAGTGGGGGCTTAGCAACACTCGTCGTGCTATTTTTTCCAAAAATTTGGTGGGGTACTAGTGGTTTAGTATATGGTTAATTAGATAATTTATAGTCCTGAATATGTACTTAAATACATACATGTAAACAAATTTATTTTTTTCTTTTTTCTAATTGCAGTTTTACTCTTGTAATAAAGCGACCATAACTATTTGAGTTGCTGATTTCGTTGGGGTTTACAGTGCTTCCAGCGGTGGTAGAAACTCGGAATTTTTCAATTTTTTTCCTTATAATTTATTGTAAAAGTGTCCAGTAGCAACGACGCTTAACGGCGTTGTTGAAAAGTCGGCCCGATGATGGCATTGCCAATGAACTCACTTTACTCCCTTACGTGGGGCGACTATGGCTCGTCACTGGTGACGGCCATTCAACTTTTGCGCTGTCACAATGACTTGGTGGACTGCACTTTGGCTGCTGGCGGGCGCAGTTTTCCAGCGCATAAAATTGTGTTATGTGCAGCGTCGCCATTTCTACTGGATCTGCTAAAGGTAAGTTAGTTTTACATTTTTAAATATTGACATTTATTTCAATTATAAACCTCTACACTTGTTTACAATAGGTTTGTATACATAGTACATGCAATATGTATGCACTTCTTATATTTAAAAGTAACTTTTTTTACAAATCAGTCTGGCCTAGTCAAAGTGTGAATTTGTGTGATGTCGTCTGCAGTTAAAATCTAATTGTTAACAAAGAATTATTCGTGGAGATGTAATGAAAATAGCTTGATAACTAAAAATCACTCGCAGGTGTAGTTTGGGGTAAAACTCATCCATAGCGCAAGAAAACAAAAAAATTACCAATGGCCAATACAATAGCACCCCCATTTCAAAGTAATATTGTTTCCCAATCATGTTTATTTATTTAGTTTTAGGAATTTTCAATTAAAACACAGTTCATTCTTTAACAAAACCCATATAAACCCAAATTTAAAACTTGTAGAAACCTAAAAAAATGATTTTTTAGAATTTGTTTCGCCGAAGGTGTTGCGGGTTTCTTCCATATAAAAATGAATTGTGTTTATTCATTAGGTATATGGAGCAAATGCGAAAAATCTAAAAAAAATCGACGGTTATTTTGAGCTACTTGAAACTTGCATATTGTTAGACTAATGGGCTATACAACTGCGTACTCAAAAAATTTCTAACACTTCTGAGAAAAAAGTTTGAAATTTAGGTGCAAGTTTGTTGATTTTTTTTGCAGTCTTTTACAAAGTTTAAAACTTGGGTTTATATGGGTTTTGTTAGAGAATGAACTGTATTTTATTTTAAAATTCTTAAAAATTAATATTTAAACATAAGTGGCAAAGAATATCACTTTAAAATAGAGGTGCTATAAATATCGCCAATACTGTATACATATATATGTATAGTTAGAGCTCGGTCTACATTCCTAGGAGACTATACCCTCAAAGCCCCCGCAGCTTTTGTTCCAGAGAGCGAAGTAAAGGGTTGCAAGAAATTACTGACTACTTCAGGGACCTCCCTAGATTCTTCACTGACGAGATTTTCAAATTCTTGCCTCTTCTAACTTTCCGCACGCGCAAAGTCAAATCGGCAACAACACTTGGGGTCACGAAGAAAAATACCTTACTCGCTGATTACAAAACGGCGGCAGATCGCAGGATAATAGGAGAAGTTTGCAGCTCTAAATATGTTTTTTAAACTGGCGCCTAAAACCTTTAGAAAGTCACATTTACGATGAACGGCTCATGTTGGCGCTGAAAGAGCAAAAAATGTTATTTATCGAAGCAGTTCCTCTATAAATGCAACCGTGGTAACAGTCCAAACAAGGCCCTGGAACGCAACGAACCGAAACTTCATCCTCGAAGACGCCGTATACCAATGTATTGAATAATATTGACAATCTACCAAGACAGTGTGCAGACCAGTTACGGCGATCCTCTCGTCATCAACTTCGATAAATATGGGTACTACATTTACCATTGCAGTAAATCGATAATTAACCTGGATGATACTTTGATGATAGTTTGGCTTTTCAAACTGGACAAAGTAACTATAGGAAATGTCCACAGTTCAATGTAAAGAGAATAGACTTTCCCACTAATGTACATGCATTTGATGCGCATTGAATAAATGATGTTTTTTCCAAATATTTTACTAAACAAACTGTCCTGCAGCGAAATAATTCTTGATAAAAACCGTTATTACACTACAGCTATTTTTATGAATACAAATACACTTGATTTTTATTTGGTTTGGATTTTGTTTTGCACGGATCTCCATGCATACCCATTTCTCGCGGACTTCTAATTATGCATACAATACAATTTGAACAGATGGCCGGATAGTGGCCTCATTAAAGGACAATCATGTACTAAAACTAAGATAACGCTATAAAAAAAAATAAAAAAAAAACGTAAACAAAAACAAACAAAGCAAAAGTAGTCGTTTGTTTGTAAACAGAGATATATTTTTCAAATGGGTCAATTCTTGGTGGATTGCTTCGAAAACTGGCGAGACCGACACACATTTTAGGCCTCATTCTCAACATGATGCGTCCAAAGAATTTCTCTGCATACTCAACTAATTTGTAAACTGAACTCACAGAAAATAGTTGTGGACCGCGCTCACCCGCACACCAACCACTTGCACTTTGCGCTCCGCTCTTCCTCGTGCTGCCACCACTGCGCTGCTTTGCTTGCTCCGGAGATTGCACGTCCGATATTTGGGCTGATGCGTCCTCTGGCCTTATTTGCGCTAAGCCGGCAAAGATAATTGCGAGCGTGGGGAGACAAAACATAAGCGGTTCGCTCAAAAAGTTATTGGTATAAATAATCAATTCGTACATAGATGGGCAAAGTTGGTAAACTGTTTTACTGCAACGGAGGGCACCAGACTGTCAACCGCTTTTGAAAAGCATTTATTGTTGTTTTCAGTATTAAATGTACTTACCCACATAAATATGTGTGTATGAGAGTGTGCTATGCAGAGACTGAGATGAAAAAATAATAACGCCATCACAATTGTTTGTTGTAATGACTTTGAAGAAGACTTCTCGTGAGTGGAGGCGGTAGAGTGGCAATGACGACGACGGTGTTGGAGATGAGTAGCGCAGCGCAACACCACTTTAATTTTCTACCATGGCAGACTTTAGAGATTTCTTTTTAAGATTTCTATTAGTAATTGAGGCGAATGAGGAAATATCTCCCTCTGAATGTGCCGTGTGCGGCGTGACATCATTGCCTCTTGAACAGGTTCAACGAGATTCGCATATATGTGCTCGCACCCAATTTAAATGAAATGTGTCTCAAATTTCTGTTGGACATGAACTCGGCTCAGAGCGGCGGTCACAATCGAGTTATGCATGCCGGTGATTGCGACAGCGTTTGCTGTTTCAGCGGAAAGTTTTTATTATGCGACCACTTCGAGAGATCTATGGATTGTTTATATTTCTAAGAAATTATTAAACTTTTGCAATGATGCACCCCGAAGATTCTATTTAAAAAATTTTTATATGTAATTAAGTTTTTTATTTTTGTTTTTAATTTCAAAGTGAAATATATATGTATATACATATATTTGTACACACCTAAATTGCATTATTCAGTTGCTACAATCGCCAAAGTCATAAAAGTCGCACAGCCACAATGGTCACACGGTTACCCTGCTTATTTACCTGTGCCGATGCCGAGTAGACAGACTGGTGAGTGAGCGAGAGCAGCGAGTGACCACAATCCTGAATGCGCCCTCCACAGAAATGTAAGCGCCAGAATGAGAGCACGAAAGAGTACACAATTTGGTGGTGAAACCCACTTATCGAACCAAGTATATATATATACATAAGTGGCTCTTGTAGCTCTTGGAGGATTAAGAGCGGAGTGACGGGTAGCGTAGCTTTGAACTGCGCATGTCTCGGCGCTGGTTCTTCGCTTGGTTGACTCGTTGAAAATTCAATGCACACTCTTGTACTGCGTTCCTCGCACTGCTCGTCGTTTCAGGGGATTTGCGCGGCTTTTCCATATGTGTGTATGTTCCGTCCAACCAATTCTCCTACTTTTGTGTTGACTCACGTCGTGGCAAAGCAAACAGTAGATATTACCTACATACTCACTGCTCTTTACAGTTGCTGTGTGTATACCTACATATGTGCATATACCTCTTATTTTCTCCCTATACGTTCGACCTTTTGTATAGCCCTCTTGTGCTCTCCCCTCTTCAAATGCATTATTCACCGTTTTTTGTTTCTTTCATAATCTCCCAGAAGAATCATGTGGCTTGGCCATGTTGTTTCTATTTTCCGGAAATGTGTGCCGAAAAAAAATACCCCGAAACCGTGGGCTTTGTTCCTATGTTCCGGAGCTACCGCGCGGAGCTACAGCGCACAGTGGTCAATAAATGGAAATTAATGTTCATAATTTACTGGAGCCTTCATTTCTAAACCAATTTGATTAATTATTATTTTTTAAATGAAAGGTAATACAATTTTCAAGGGAATAGTTGAGCCCAATTTTTGATTTTTTATTTGTTTATATTAAATTTTTTAGTGCAAAGTGTAAAAAAAGTGCCAATTTTGAAGAAGATCGATTATCCCGTTCCTGTACATAATAAAAACTAGTTAAAAACAATTGTAGGCTTCTCCCAAAATGAAAAAAAAAATTGTAAAAAGTAATAATTTGAAAAGTTATAAAAAAATTTTTTGTGTTGGGAAGTATCGAGTACTTTTGAGGATCGAGTTCTTTGGTATAGATACTTTTAAGGATCGGGTATTTTTGAGAGTACTGAGTACTTTCTTTAAATATACAATTGTTGGTAACATCTTAATGATTAGTGTAGAAATCTCACAAGCTGACAGCACTTTATTCAAATTAATATATTAATCCCAAATTACGTTATATAAATGGTAACTTAAAAACTATTAAAACTTCAAATTGAGTACAATCATTTTTAAATACCGGTAAATGTAAATAAAACTCAGTACTTTTAAGTATCCTGACCTAAGTATCTAAGTGATGATTGGAACAGAGAATTTTTGAGTACTGAGTACTTTCGAGTTCTTTTAAGTTCCGAGTACTTTCGAGTTCTCTTGTGATTACTTAGTAATTTTTGAGTTCTTTTAAGTTTTGAGTACTTTCGAGTTCTTTTGTGAGTACTGAGTACTTTGGAGTACCCAGTATCGATACTTTTAAACATCGAGTGCTGTCGATCCTTTTGAGAATCGAGTTCTGAGTACTTTTTGTATCGATACTGCCCAACACTACAAATTTTCACCAAAAATATTTTTTTTTGTATTCTTTAAAATCTTGGGTATGCAGTTTTATAGATAATTAAATTTTAGTATAATAAAGTGCAAGTTGCAAGTCGCTATGAGTTCATGTTGATTTTTAATAATTTTTTCGCTAACATTTTGAGCACATTTGCATGCTAAATGGGAGATAAAAGCGTTTGTTATGTTAATAAAAATCAACGCGAACTCTTAGCGACTTGCAACTTGCACTTTATTATACTAAAATTTAATGATCTATAAAACTGTATACCCAAGATTTTATAAAAACCAAAAACAAAAAACAATAGAATTTTTGTTACCTTCATTACCAAGGTATCTAGAATTGAGGCTACACGAACTGGTGACAATTTTTGGTAACAAAATTTTCCGGTTATAAAATGTTCGGAAACAAACAGAATAGGCCTGTTAATGCCTGAGGTTTGTCTGAAAAGATAGTGAAGGACTTACAACATTAAACTATTTTCTTCATTTTGTCATGTAAACTATGTATATTCCATCACACCGTCACTTGAAAGTGCTATTCGTATTTGCCTGTCTTTTGACTACAACCCGCAAGTGCACTGCCGCATGTAAACAATGCACTTTTGTCAACACCTGTAAAGCAATCTGCAACACCACCAATGCAATGCGCCCATTTGCTACTCTGACTCAATCCCTCTCCGCCAACGCTATTTATAACAATGCGACATAAAACACTATAAGAGCCCAGAGACATACTCACTGAGATAACGCATCGTGCTGCTTCCTGCCTCCAGTTGTTTGGCGCTTCGCTCTATCATTTTCTTTATGTACATACATACATAAGTACGTCAGCAGAAGCTGCTTGATTGTACTCAATACGCTACAACATTCCAAAATATATTAGGAGGATGAGCGATACACAGCATCAAAACAAATGATGTTCTGCTTCCTACCTAAGACCATTTCAACCCTCACCAAACAATTATCCTCCCATTATTGATATGCTCTGAGAACAAAAAAGAAATCAATTTGGCTTAAAAGTTTTCATCGCATCCCAAGCAAAGCGCTGCGCGCTCTACTTTCTCTATGAGCATAAAAGTGCGGCATAGTTATCGGGTCAGGTCGATATAAATATTTACTAAACTCAATTTGACGTATTGAAATTGAGATTCGAAAAAAAAGGTGAGTGCGCCTACGCTCAGAGATTAACTTGGCTACAGAGCTCTGGATACTATATATAGTTAAAAACGACAGCTTGCCACTTTAATTGACCAATGTGTGTTGTTCGAACAAAGCTGAAAGTGATTCGCCAATTCAGTTCACTTTTTATAACACCATAAGTGGTATTACGACATTGATGAGCGTATGCGACAATGTAATTTGGAATAAAAAATTACGATCTTCTCCGATTTCCTGGTATGCGCCTTGATGTTGTCGCACTCGGAGGTTTGCCAATGACCTTGGACCTACGAAGGGGTAGTTCACGCCTCTTAATACTCGACCACGGTGGATGTCCATTAAAGTTAAACAAGTAAGAAAGTCTAAGTTCGGGCTGAACATTAAATACCCGGCGCAAGTATTAAATATATGTTTTTTTCACCTTTCCGAAAGCTACCGCTAGATGGTAAGACGGGGTGTATCAATTTTGAGTAAATTAGCGTCCTTAAATTTCGAAATATTGCAGTTTCAAGCATTGCTGAAATTTACCGTTATATGAAAAATACCGAGTTTTGTACAAATTGGTAGAACGGTTACCGATATACACATATGTGATCATAAATGGGCGGTGCCACGCCTATTTTCCAAAATTTTACCATAAACGTATTTCTTGGTAAAGAATTGTTGCAAGCATCAATTTTGAATAAATTAGCTTTAATATTTTCTGATTTATCGAAGATTTTGTATTTCTCTAAATTACCGTTATATGGGATGTTGTTGGGTTATTGTCCGATTTTTAAAATCTTCGGCCATTTTATTTCTGAAAGTTACCGTTATATGGGAAGTGGGCGTGGTTACTGTCCGATTTCGCCCATTTTCAATACCAACCTACCTTGGATTAACGGAAAACTACATACCAAATTTCGTTGAGATATCTAAATTTTTGCTCGAGTTATCGTGTATTCCTTCGTCCAGGTGGTAAATAAGGTCGCAGAGGATTTTGTAGCGGGAAGGGTTAGGCTCCTAGCAGTGAAGAAGCGAGAAAGCTCGGAGTGCTACCCGTTTACTTTGCAGCACAAGTCTTCAATTCCATTTCCACACGCCATTATCGAACAATCGTCAGCGTAAGAGACAATCGAGCCTTCCTATGGTGGTTGAGGGAGCTTGGAAATATAATAGTTGAACAGTAATGGGGAAAGAACCTCCTGTTGAATTTTTCTAGGTTTGCTCAATTTGTCTCTAAAGATTACTGACAAGTGTCGACCACTCGGATAATTCGCCGACCACTGTTTGAGCCTCTGTGGGAGAGAGGAGGCCTCTATGTCTTCGAGCAGCGTGGAGTGGCTGACGGTATCAATCGTCTTTGACAGATCCAACGCTACTAGAATAGTTCCTCGCAGGAGCGGTTGCGATTTAAGTCACATGTTGAGTTATGGCGTTAAGTGCTGTGGCTGTGCTGTGCACTTTACCGAAACTATGCTGATTCTTCGCTGTGGTCGCGGGAGAAGCACGATCTCTAGTGGCTTCGCTATCGGGGAAAGGAGTTCGATGTCTGCTTCGACAAGACGACCACACTGCACGGTGTGGTGATTGATGATCGCTAAGCCACCACCATTAGCTCGCTCGCGATCTCGACGGTGCACATTTATCCGGCGCAATTCAGCAATGTTCGCCTCTTGCACCGCAGCTATCAACATTCCATGCCTTCCCATCAAGGCGGTTATCTCCTCGATCTTGTTCTGAAGTCCGTTGCAATTGAATGGAAGCAGCTTTGTGTGATTCGGCAGACGTATTGTTATGTGGGAGGTGAGGGACGTGTGTTGCCTTACCGCCATTAGCTGCATGCGATGCAATCCCACGACATACACATTTTTACGGCGCAATTTCTGCGGCATTTCAGAAGATTTTCAGTTGAGCATCAGCAACATTTCCTCAAGAAAGCAACAAGGCTGCATTATTGGCCTGATTATTACATAGCTCTGAACACATCCATAGCTTACTCTATCAAAAATCGTATATGTAGATCAAAGTCAACAACCTTTCGTAAAAAAAGAAAAGGTGAAAAAAAATATCGTGAAAACTCGAAACCCGTTGCCGACCCATGGTTTCTTCCACATTTTCTCTTCCCTAGTGGGGCACCGAAATTGCGCATACTGTGCATTTAGATATTATTTCGGTTTCAACCGAATTGTTTCGGGTTTTTCATATGCCTTATTTTCAGCCGAAGCTGCATGTATGTATGCATTATTTCGTTTTTCACATATGCATTATTTCGGTTTTCAACACAGAAAGGAGAATTCTACTTAGTAAGGGTTATAATCCCTAAGCGCGGACGAAGGCCGCCTACGCAAAAAGAAGTTCTGCGCAAAAATACTTCCGTCACTCTTTTCCGGCAACTTGGAAAGGAGAATTCTACTTAGTAAGGGTTATAATCCCGAAGGCCGCCTACGCAGAAAAAAGTTCGTTTTCATGTATGCACTCTTTCAGTTTTTGTTATTTCAGTTTTGAGTCCATATGCTTTGGATTTGCTCACACAAGCTCTTGGTTCAATCCGTATCCATTCTTTATAAAAAAGAAAACCATTTTGAAATATGAGTGTTTTTACTCTATAGAAAATAATTTATGCAACCTCATATACGCATTTTGTATTATCTTGATACGCGCTTTTGTACTTTAAACGACGATATGTACCTACCCTTGCTGCTGATTGTTTTCACATTTCATTTGCTTCTTTCCCAGCACGAAAACATTTGAAAACTTCGCTTCAATTTTGCGTTGCCAACGTGAAAAGTGACAGTTTTCGCACGCTGAAATATCGACCACCAAGTCGAAAGCTAAACTGACAATTTAGCGCGATGTCTCGTCGATATCACCAGATTTCAAACATATGTATATATGTATGTATCAATGTATGTATGTACACTGAGCAATGCGTCTGGTAATTCGTTGAATTTCTCCCCAAATAACAATTTACGCTCGCGTGCCATTGCAGAAAACTAAATATTTGTTTCTTTGGCAAAGCAGATTCGTCTGTGAGCCAGTTTTTGTTTTTTTTGTTTGTTGAGCGTTTCGTCATATCAGCCGCAGTGTGGCGGTGTTGCGAGCGTCACTGAGAAGAGCAGGAGCAGCAACCAAGCATCAAATAATGGTTTAAAGCGCTAATGAGAAGATAGCACGCTGCCTGCGACTAATAAGATAAGCTTTTTTGAGTAAATTAAGATTAAATGAAATTTTTCATCGACTGCCTGAGCGTTCTAAAAGCGAGTTTTACTTTTTAAACGTGTACGGCAGCTGGTTAGCGCATTGAAGAGCATGAGCAATGAGGGAGCGGGTAGCAGTGCAGATATGAGACATTACCGCACACTCCACTAAGCCAAAATAGGTAATCGGCGGGCTGGACATTTAACCAACTCGTTTGCAGGCATTTTTTCGTTGCATTTTCTCTGTTTACGTTTTTAAGTAAACCATCTCACATTTGCTTTCGACTTGCCGACTACGCTTTCTCTAATCACACCCCCTCTCTGGTTTTCTTTCTCGTTGTTGCTCTTTCCTTTATATAGAATACACCATGCAAGCATCCGGTAGTGATGTTGGCCGGCGTCAATGCCAACGACCTGGAAGCGTTGTTGGAGTTTGTTTATCGCGGCGAAGTAAGCGTCGATCACGCACAACTACCGTCGCTATTGCAAGCCGCACAATGTCTGAATATACAGGGATTGGCACCGCAAACTGTCACAAAAGATGACTACACCACGCATTCGATACAACTACAACATATGATACCACAACAACACCATGTAAGTACCATGTAAGCTACAATTTTGCCATTCTTTGTGCTTATAAAATGTTTTCCATTTTTAGGAACAAGACCCATTGATCGCCACAATTGCTACCGCACCACAACAAACCGTACATGCTCACGTCGTCGAGGATATCCATCAAGGTGGTCAGATTTTGCAAACTACTACCCACACCAATGCCGCCGGACAAACACAGACCATTGTGACCGCTGAATCTCCTAAGGATGTTATTCAACAATTCTTGCCTGCACGCAAGCGCAAGCCACGTGTCAAGAAAATGTCGCGTAAGTGTTTTATTTTATTTTTGCAGAAAAAAGTAAAGAATTAGTCTTAGAATTTATTAAAAAATTGTAAGATAGTAAGATACTGTCTTTGAAAATATCGTTATATCTATCATCTCCTAACTACAGCCACTGCACCCAAAATTGCTAAAATTGATGGCGTTGAAACGATTATTGCTACACCGACCACTCCCACTAACGTCGTCCAACATCAGACCACACAACAACAGCAACAACAACAACAACAACAACAACAACAGCAGCAGCAGCAGCAATTACAGGCACAACAAAGCATTGAAAACGGCAATGAGACGCAGATTATCACCTCGACACCGCACATCAAGAGTGAGGCGAGCAAAGTTGAGACAATTGTGACTATGGATCCGAATATTACACCGATATCGACAGCAAATACCAGCGAAGCAAGCGCCGGCGGCACAACACCAGCAAGCAGCACGAAGACAGTCAAACGCACCAAGAGTGGTAAGTAGAGTGATTGTTACTTTTTTTTAAATTTAAATATTATTGTTACTAAATCACTTATTTATTTTCATTCCAGAATCTCGTTCACGCTCACAATCGGAACAACCGGCTACTTGTCCCATTTGCTATGCAGTCATCAGACAGTCACGTAACTTGCGACGTCACTTGGAACTAAGGCATTTCGCTAAACCTGGCGTAAAGAAGGAGAAGAAAAGTAAGTCTGGTGGTAATGATATGGAAGTTTTAGACATAACGGCAGAGGAGGGCACTGTCATAGCGGCAAACGTAAGTGACATAGCGGCGACGACAAGCGGAAGCTTCCACACAGTTGCTGGTAATGCCACCACCGCATCAAATGCAACGAGCACACCCATCATCGTTACGCATGCCAATACTACAGGCGTTGGTCCGACCGTCACGCATATGGCTACGCTAAAGCAGGAGCCATCGAATGCGGGTAGTGGTCCGAATATACAAAATGTTATACATTTTGTCAGCGAAGAATTGTTGGGGTCATAAAAATGCATACAATTTGATAATTATTATTATAGAGATTCATATAAATATAGGCATTAAGACGTTTAAGTGATTAAAAATAATTGACGTTAGAAACCTTCAGGTTCTGTAAAGAAGTAGTTTTTGATAATTAAGCATTCCCCTTGCTTTTCATTAAGCTAACAAACGCATACTTTCTTGTACAAATGTATACTGAAAACACACATAAAAAAATGATTGCACACAAATGTACAGACAAACAGCCATAGTACATTGCAACAATAGCATGTACACGGCGATTTCGAATAGTTAAACGTTAAAGACGCAGTATGATTAAGTTTAGATGCTTTAGATGACAACTTGCTCAAATGTTTACTTTAATTTGCAGAAAATAGTCTACGATCATCTGCAGTATTTTCTAACAAAAAAACAAAAATAGCAATAAAAAGTTCAATCTAACGCTCTGTTTCCTTAACAAATTTGTATAAACACAAATTAAAATTTATTTAAAACAATAATATATTATTTACTGCTCGTTTTTTATACATACATACATACATATGTAAGGATTTGCTTTATAGTTTTTTATTATGAAATTTGAAAGGCGATTTTTTCCAAAATATACTATGGATATGATGAATAAAGTGGAATTGATTGATAAAAAACCGAAATAACACGCCTATTTTTAATTTTTAAACTTTATTTAATTCTGTAGTTAGATTTTTTCAGTTAAACCCTCCGTTGCTCTCGAGGAAATGTGCGTTTTGGACTTTTTATTGTTAACACAGAGAAAATACTTGTATTTGTTATTGTAAAGCTCGCGTTTTTATCACTCAAAATGATCCTTTAAACCTTGAAAAGCAATCTGTTCATCAAGAGCTTATGGTTTTACTAAAACCAAGAAATACACGGGCAGTGTAGGTGTCGAAATTGGCTTCCAATATTTGTTAAGTGCCAGCATAAAACCTTTTGGCTGTAAGTGAAGCCAATGCAGGACGGATGATATCAGATTTAATAGCCATTAACTCTGTATGTTTATGTGCGAGTTTATGCTAGTTGGTAACAATTGTTACAAGTTATCATCTTTTGGCAGGAATTGAGAGAGCGAAAATGACAGTTTACTGGATAAATTTTTACTCGTAACCGCTTTACACAATTGAACGATTTCATTAAAAATTTTTAAGGTAATCGTTACCGTACATGTTTTTTTGCATATTCCTATCACTGAGAGCTTAACTATTCAGAAATTGGGTTACAGGATATTATTTACTGGGGAGTACGCATACACAGCTATTGTATACATAAAATATGTAACAAAAATGATGGAAAGTTTTCCTAAAGGTAGAGTTGGCAAACTCCGCGTGCTGCTTAAAGGCGGTGTAAGTCTGTGAGGTTTCCTAATTTACACTTATGAAGACTTATTCAATAAATTATAAGCGTAGCTTGAAACAGCTCGTGTCCCTCTGCCGTCACTGAATGCCCCGCTCTTTTTGCATACACATTTTCTTCTTTCATTCCTTGAGAGCAATATTTCTTACATTTCATCTCTTCTACCCAATATAGTGCCCGCAGGCAAAAAGATAGTAACCACCACATCCACTGGCGCTGGAACTAGCAATGCTGCAGGCACATCAACGATCACCACAACTGTAAGCGCCGTACCACAGGTGCAATCGGTGCAATCGCTACACACTTTACATACGGTACAAGTGAAAAAGGATCCGGATGCACAGAATCAAGGCCAACAAACGATGACTGTCACAACTACGTCAGGTGCTGGTGGTGCTCAACAACAACAACAGGTGCAACAGCAACAACAGCAACAGCAAGTTCAACAGGTACAGGTGCAACAGGCACCACAACAACAGCAACAGCAACAACAAATACAACATCATCAAATAATTGATCAATCGGGTAATATAACAACAGCCACCACAACAGCGGGCGGCCAACAGCAACAACAACAACAAACTGGTGGACAAATTGTTACGCAGACGGAGAATACAGATGGTACAACATCGTTGTCGATTGCGCAGGTGCAAACGTTGCAGGGTCATCAAATACTGGGCAATATAAATCAGGTGAATATGAATGAATTTCAAACGCATTCACAATTGTAAAATGGATGATGGAAGAGGAGGAAGATGAAGTAAAATGAGCAACTTTAAATAAGAAGTTTAGCGAGAAGATATCAGAAATTAAAAAAAACCTAGCTCGCCACCCACCCACAGACACACACACACAAACAAAGGCACTAACCAAAAACGGTGTTGAGGCACTAAAAAAATATGCTATAAATTAGACAACAGTGAAACACGTAGAAACAGTAAATTAGAATATTTTTTGCTGCGACAGGGTGCAATTAAGCACCCAAATGGTGCAACAAAAGACCGAGTGAAAAATGCGCAACCAAACTTATTAACCAAAAACAGCAGAAAAAACATGTAAAAAAGATATTTTTTTTATAAAAATGTTTGAGAAATCTTTAAAATTAGGTAATAAAAAACCTCAAATTTTTCAATTTCTGCAACTATAATTCTTATATTAGTGTGCACTACCCTACGCTCTTGCAACTTCTGCATATTTTGTAAAAAAAAATACCAAATCAAATGTTTGCTTTAAAAGTGCTCCAGGAAGAGAATAAGAGACAATGAAGAAGAAAAAATCACTTAAAGTTTTACACCTTTTTGCACTTTACCAAATTTTGCTGCCTTATTTTCCTGTGCTACTATATACACTATTTCCGTGCATTGCATAACTTTAATGTTAATTTATGCTACGTACATACTATGTATTATTGAACAAAGTTATTTTATTTTTACTTCTTAGTTTTGACAAAATTTGTTTGCCTTAACCTATAAATTTAATCATAAAATTTTTAGTTGCGATTTGTAAAATAGAAAAAAAAAAATTAAATGGTTGTAAGTAGTATTAAGTTGGTACTAGGTACTACAACCCCTATACTTTAAAAACTATTACTATAAACGACTTTATTTTTAAATTTCCATGATAGCGAAAATAATGTATCGGAAGTGATATTTTATTCGCTATCTACCATTTTCATGCTTATCAACCGCATATTAAAATTTAAAAGTAAATTTAGTTCATATTTATTGCAACACTGCAACACTGCAACACTGCAACAGTTGCTAACTTAAAGTTTACTTATTATTCTTATTTTTCTTAGCTAAGAAATGTTTTAGTACACATAACACTGTTAGATATTTAGAAAAAAATATATTAAAAAGGACATATGTATGTATATATTTTTTGTTAAAATTAAAGTACTTTTACGTATACAAGAAAAGCGGAAATATCCCAATATAACAGCGGCCGCAAGTTTACGTAAATAGTTGTGCGAAATTTGTGCTTTTAGAGAAAGAGTTTAACGCGTTTTGAAAATGGTTTCTACTAGAAAGTTGAAAAAATTTGAGTTATGTTTAAAACTTATAAAGTGTAAGGCAAATAATAAAAAAAAATACTTATAACCTCGAAACAATTTTTTTTAAATTTTAATCTAAAAAAAGTGTTTGCTTTAAAATATTAATTTTTGGTACTTACAAGTAGATACATATATATATATTTAGCAAAAATAATAAAACTTGGTTTCCTTGCCACACATTTTGCACAACGGTTTCAAAAAAAAAAGGAATAAAAGAAATTAGAATAAACATTTTTTTAACGTATGATTTTCTTTAGAAATTCGCTTGTAATTCCTAATTTGACCTTTTTGTTTGTTTGGTTAACAAATTTTGAATTATAAATAATAATAATAATAATAAAAAGAACCAATTTTGAAAATCCAACAAAAAATACATAAATTTTGGTTTAATTTATTTTTATATTTGAACACTCCAGCAAATCCCCATACCTTTTAAACCTCTGCTATTTTCCTTTGTGAACTCTTCATCGCTTTGTTTTTTGTACTTTTGTACTTTTGTTTCCTTTTCATGGTATTGGTTTTTCTTGAGTTTTAGTATATAGTCTGTATATATGTTTATTTGTAGTAAAAGTAGTAGTGCTAACTTGGTTTACTTGCTTAATTAAATTTGCATGTTGTACATAGTTTACATGTATGTTTGTATGTAACATTGCTTTTATGTCTATGTATGTCCAGTCTCAATACGCTTCTCACTGTTTTTGCTATGTCTTTACGTGTATGAGTTGTACAGTATGCGGGGGTCGCACTTAGTAATCGCTATTATCAAGTTATCAGGATAAATATGCCTCGAAAGGGAAAGTCTCATTTTGTCTCATTTTGTCATCAGGGAGAATATCAAATCCTCAAAGTTGAGAATAACTGTTGGATATAAATAATTGGCCATGGCCAGAGTACGAAAATAAACTGTACAAAACAATTCCCATTTGCTCATCGATCATCATATCATGTGTGGTTTTGTACAGTTTTGTACACAGTCAGAAACAAATTGTAAGATTCGTTTGTGACAATTGTACCATAGGGTACGTTTTATACATATGTATGCAAACGTTTTAATTACGTGAAAAATATTTTTTTCTTTAAATTTTCATATCCAATTCAATTAAAAAACATTTTTATTTTTTTTATTCATTGCAGCCATTCGTTTTGTGTTTAGTTATTGCATATGTGTACATACATACATATATTTTTCTCTGCACGATTCATTTCGTTTGTTGTTTCGTCTGTGTAACTACTAAACTACTGTAGTGTACTATAGCCAAAGTGAACTCAGCCGTTTTGTTTTCGTATTGTACCGAACTTATGAAGCAATAAACGAAACGAAATAGTAACGTACAATATAGTTTATTTTCGTACCCTGGCCATGGCCATGCCTATCAGCTCTAAAAAGTTGATAACCATTTACATGTAGGATATTATTGTTGTGGTACGAGTAAAACCACGTTTCGGATTTGCACACAACATGAATATCCGATTTTTCGAAGAGATATCTAAATTCGACGTGTTTTTTCAACAAACTTTGCGCATTCAAATCTACCATCTTAAAGAGTGTAGCACGCTTGCTAATAATACGCAACATGCTCTATAAACAGTCTTTGGGACGTCTAAGGGCGATATTATAAAAGTTGTGTAAATGAATTGTGGCAATGCATCTTGGTTCTAAAAAGTTAAGCAATGAAAGAAACCCGTAACCTTTGCAAGATTTGTGTACATCATGAAAAACACGAAGACAATATTTAAAATTATAAAATACAAATCGTCGATGTTTTTGCAAAACCGCCTAAATCGCCGTTGTGGCGAAAATGAGATTGCATCGAGATTTATGCATAAAAATCGTTAAATCGTTATTAAAAAACAAATTTGTAAAATAAAAGCTAGAGAAAATACCGCCCTATGCTAAATATCGTCATCGTCGTCGTCGACGGTCGTCAGCGCATCAGTAACATGGCTGACGATGGCCGTATCGTCGCTTTTACTGACCATGGCGATATTCAACATAGGGCGGAATGACTTCAAAGAATAAACCGTTTTTTCGCTCTCTTGTAAAATTTGAGTGCCGTAAGATAGGCGGTTTTGCAATTGGACGATGGGCAGTTTTGCAAAAACATCGACGAAATTAGTTAATAAGAGCATATACTTTTCATATTCGAGTTGAAGTTTGTCGCGTTGATATGCTGCTATGTTCTTCGGCTCTGGTGTCACGAAAGGAATGTTTCATTACTGCGGCAGGACTGGTGTTTTCTAGATTGCAAACACATTACATTTATGCTCAAAAAATCGCTCGTTTGCTCGTTTGTATCACTTTTCGTATATGGTGTCATTAGGTATGTCATTTTGGTTGAAACAGCATAGACATTTCCCAAACAAGCTATGGGGAATACTGCTCGCGTAGCTGTCCTTGACCAGATCTAACTGTAGATCGCCAGACATAATTGTAGATCGTTCTGCTTATGTTCACTGTGACATTTATGCTAAGAAACTAAATAGAACTTTATTATTTGTTAGTAAGTCCCCGAAGCTAACTAAATCCTTTTTGATAGCCTTGAAGTATGCTATAAAATTTGCTCTGAAAAGCGATGCTTGAGCAAGAAAGTGCCTCGACTACGAGTTATGTGATAAGTCCGTACTCTTCTCAGTTCTGATTCGAATGGGTGTGAATGTTACAAGTGTCACATAACCTCAAGTAGTCCCCTTGATCCAATCGATACATTTTTAGTTTCAAAAGTGATAAATGAACGTTTGAAGGCTTTTGATTTTGAGAGTTGTTGTTGTAACAGGATAAAAATTCCCCAACGAGTTTTAGGGAAATGATGCTGGAGTGACAGTCATTAGGCTGGTATTAATCCGGGTCGTTCCGGTTACGTAGACCCGAACGCCGTGGGAACAGGCTTTTGGAAGTGCTAATCTTTGGCTTCGTTATTTTAAATATTGAGCATTTCCTACCAGAATTCCGTTAGTATTCACGATAAACTGACTGAACATGATTCAATAATGAAAGGTTTTGTAAGAAAAACTTTCTCTCGCTCTAATTTTATCAATGACACTCCCACCCTACTCCTAAAAACAAAAACAGTGATATTTCTTTTCCAAATTTCTTTGCAAGTTTTAAGAACATTTTTAAATTGTTAGTAGTGAAATTTTTACTTTTTAAATTTGAAGAAATGTTTGTTCTGCATTCGCTGGCGCCAACAAGACAAAATGGGTGAGAATCGTTGGACTACAGAAATTCAATGTTAAGAGACGAAATTCCCTTAAATGCCGAAATGTATTTGTCGATATTCGTGGAGACCTCTTGATTCTGCCAAGTCACTGTAAAGTAAAGCGTTCAATGAGCCAACGAAGGTATTTAGGTATTGTACTCCACGACACAATCCTGGTGTCTCCGAATGAGATTTTGACGCAATATAACATTGCCAAACCGCATCCATAGGCCCAATCGTCACACGACAGCTCGGTTTAGTCAATGGCGCGATGTAATTGCACACTTAAAAGGTGTACGCACGAGGCGAATGTTGGCTGGCGACCAACTTTATTGAAAGCGATTAGCTGAAAGTAGAATGCAAAGTTGAACAATACAAACGCCTTTTTATGGCGAATATTTTAATATTTTTTTATATTTTGATATTTTTAGTCATTCAAATTTTTTTTCGTGCAACCCGGCGGGAGTTGAACGCAAAAGTTGCCTGAAAAATCGCCTCGTGCGAAAGCCCCATTACGCCACTTCTCATTTGACGATGTAGATCACGTTCCCTATCTCAGTCGTTCAGTAGCTGCGTGCTCTGAGTTCGTCCGGCACCAATCGCCAACTGCGGCTGTGCAAGCCAGTGTTGAATATTTTCCCCAGAACATAAAAAGTGCGACATCAAAGAATTCGAAACAATCGAGCCATAACCGCGAAAGAAACGTAAGCTCCAAATTTTTTTATTTGCCGTTTTTTTGTTTAATAAATATTGCATATTTTCCGCAAACAAATAGCTTCTTCATGTCCATCAACTGGCAAACAAATACAACAAAAAAAAAGCTGAAAGTGGACCGTCCATTCTCGAGTTATGCGCCATCTGACGTACGCAAGTTTGGTATAAACATAGAAATATTTATTTTTAATAACAATAGGGGGTTATATTCGATGTAAATAAGCTTGTTTAAATTAAATAATTAAATCAAATTCGTTTTTGTTTTAAAATACCACCATTCACTATTATCCACACGTTTTTATAGAATTTAGCTCCCATTTTAGGAAGTGTGATTGAATTCTTCCCCTTTTTCTTCTGCTTCCAAAAACCATCCCTGTGGGTGGGAGTGCCAAATTTTAGAAAAAAGCTACTTACAAAACCTTTAATAATTGAATCATGCTGACTGAAAGGGTTTTTATTTTAACAAAAAAATATTTGACATAAAAACCAAACCAAATAATTACATTTTTTTTCGGGCAGGAGCTTTTTGCTACTTCACGTTAAATTTAACCGAAAACATTGTTCTAACCTCGATTTGAAATACATAATTCCTTTATGGAAACTTTTATTAACTCTGGTGATTTTTAAGCTCCCGCGTTACATTTCCAAGGCCATTCTAACCTCAAAAACACGTTTCATTTTGGTTTGGCTTAGGAGCATTTCGACATTACAGAAACCATGGTCACATACAAGTACACAGTACATGCCTCACTGACCATCCATCTATCGACGTTGTGTCTAACCTACTGATATATTTTCAAACGTATAAAAAAAAAAATATAAAATTTTTGCTTCGTTTAAAAAAGATTATATTAAAAACTGTTACTTTTCTTTTATTAAACGCACAAGTGACTAATTATAGCATATTTATTTCTCATCAGAATATAACAAATCTCATTAACTCTGCAATTTTCTTGTCTTCTCTTTTTTCATTTTTTACTATGGCTGCTACGTAACTCACCAAATTTAACAAAAAAAATAAAAATAAAAAATAAAATACATGTTTGCATTCAACAACATCTAACAACCAATCGATAAATCAACCAACCAACCAACAACAATCAATTCAATAAAAATAATCTAGGGTAATAATAAGAACATTTTGGTAAAGAAAGTTTTCATTTTAAAAGGCGGTAATAATACGTAATGATGAGCCAACGATATGATCAGCGGTAGTGGAGGAGGAGGAGGTGGCGGGGTAGGCGTCATAGGCGGGAGCAGTGGTAGTGGCGGCGGCGGGAGCAACAACATTAGCGGCAGTGTGGTAAGCGCTACACGTCTCAGCCGCGCTCAGCAGCACCACCACCAACAACAGCAGCAGAGCAGCGGCTCGAGCGGCTTGGCCGCCATAGCTGCAGCTGCCACTGGCGCCCAACCGATCGCCACCAGCAGCGGTACACATCGCGCACGCATACTGCGTGGCCATGCAGCACAAACAACCACCGGTGAGCGAGTGTTGCTTATCAACTATGTGTCGCCTAGCGCATCGGCTGCTACATCACCCAACACCCAGACGCACACGGTCAGCACAGTCGCGACGAGCGGTAGTGCTGGCACTACAACAACAACGCGCAAAATCCTCCATGCCAGAACGGCGGCAGCGACGCACGCGAACGTCAGCACCGCCACACCCGTCTCGTTTGCTGGCCTCGGTTCTGAGGTGACGGTGACGCTGACGCGTTCTGGTAAATCGACCGCCGGTCATATTGTACGTAATCATAGTATTGCCACTGAGACGACAGACCAACAGCAACAGCAACAACAGCATCACCATCATGTGAGCAGCAGTTCGCCGCCGCCGCTGGTCTTCACGACGACGGCGCACAGCGATTTGCATCATCACCAGCAGCAACAGCAGCAGCACGAAATAGTTGAACAGCAAACACATCAGCACCATCAGTTGTTAACGCATCGGCAATTGCAGCAGCAGCAGCAGACAACAACGACGGTGCTGGATCCTTTAGATTTAGAAGATCAGGATGAATATCAGCAACAGCAACAACAACATCAGCAAATTATCATTGAGCATCACGGTGGCAGCGCGCAGACACAGCAGCAGCAGACGAATGAAGAAGAGATGCTTGAGTATGACGACGAAGAGGAGGTGGAAGAGCATCACTTGCAGCAATTGCAAGAGGTGCAGGAGCAGCAAGAATGCGATGGCGATCAAGTGGAGGAAGTGTATCTCAACTGAAAGCGGCGGCGTTGGGAGCTCAGAAGCTGCGGGGGCTGTCGCAGGGCGCAGTGAATGTTGCGGATGCTGACCGCTTAATTTGTAAAAATGTTTTTCATCAAAAATTTATAGCTCGAAAACTTCATAGAAGTTAAACCGCAGATCAGATCGTGAAATCAGTTGGGAAATCATCAAAGTAAAACTTAAAATATCTCAAAATTAATTGTAAATAGTTTAATGTTTTACCTATAATAATACAACAGAAATTTTTAGCAAACATGATTTTCGTGTATACATAGTAACAAGCGGCGGCTTAATAGGTTTAGAATGAGCAACTCCAAGGCGCTCATTAACTGAAAATAAAATACAACCTTAAATAATTCGAATTCAGTTTCTGAATCTCAATTTTTGTATCAAAAGTGTGGTAAATAATAGAATTTTTTCAAAATATTGTTCCCCATTGAACATTTTCAGTAGTCTGTTTGTGGAAATAAAGTTTAATGGTGTATTTGTGTAGATTCAATTAAATTAAAAATCAGTAAGTATTACAAATTTCGCAGCAGTAGAATTTAAAAAAAAAAATATATATGTATATACATACATACATACATATTTTACGAAACATAAAAAAGCATATCTACTTTTAGAACTAAAACTGTTAGTGAAAAAATGGACATGCATATTATTAAGTATGTAATAATGTATAGTAACTAAGTTATTGTTAATTAATAAGTGGATAGATAAGTTATTGTAGTAAAATTTCATACTTTCGAAAATAAAAAAAAGTCGGAACTATTCTTAAATATAAGCAGAAAATTAAATACATAATTTAAAATATACTGTGGCAATGTCTTTAATCTAGATGCATTTTTAGAAAAAAAATATCTAAAAACGAGCAATCCAAATATACACAATATTAACTACAACTACAAAAATGGTTTAAACATATTTTTCAATGACCTTTAAGATACATTTAGTAGGTAGCTGTTATGTATAAGGCATTTGAAATTAAATTCAAATAATATATGTAAAAGCTATTAGAAAACAACAGAGGTAAAGTAAAACAAAATGAAATAAAAAAATAAATAAAGTAAAATATATAACAAATAAAATAAATAAATAAAATATATAATATATAAATGAAATATATAATGAATAAAATAAAAAATAATTATTAATAAGTAAATAAATAAATACATAAATTAATTAATAAATAAAATAATAAAAAAGTAAAAAAATAAATAAGATAAAATAGTGAATTAATAAAATAAAAAAATAATACTTACCAAAATTAAACTGATATAACAATAATGAAAACTCTCAATTAAAGAGAAATATAAAAAATAAAAGAAATTAAATAAAAATGAAACATCAAGGCAAAAAATTATGAATATAAAAAGAAAATATATAATGAATATATAAAGAAAAGAAATAAAATCAGACAAAATGAAATACTCTGAAATTAAATAAAACAAATAAAATAAATAACAAAAAATAAAATATCAAAATATAAAAAACTGTGTACTATTAAAAAAAAAAGCAAAAAATAAAAGAAATACATACAACGAAATAAAATAAAATCATATAAACTAAAGTAATGTAAAACAAATAATATAAAACAAAAAAATTAAAACAAAATAATATTAATAATAAAATAAAATAAATAAATATAAAAAATAAAATAAGTGAATATAAAAAATAAAATAAATGAATATAAAAAGAAAGAAAAAATAAATAAAAAAGTCAAAGAATATAATAAACTATAATTAAAACATACAAAAATAAAATACAAAAATTAAAGAAACACATACATAAAATGAAATAAAATAAATGACAAACTAAAAAAATCATTGAGATTAAACAAAAAAACAAAAAACATAATGAGAAAAATTTAATAACAATATAAACGATATAAAATGATAAAAAATAAATAAAATAAGAATTAGAAATAAATAAAAATAAAAACATTCCAAAAATATAAAATAATAAAAAAGAAATAAAACAAAATAAAACCAAATGAAATGTATAATAAAATTATACAATGAAGTAATATAAAAAAAAATAAAACGATGAAATATAAAATAAAATTAAACAATGAAATACGTAATATAAAATAAAATAAAATTGTGAAATAATAAAAAAAGGTAAAATAAAACAAATTTAAGTATAATGAAATGGAATTAAATACAAAAATAGAACTAACTAAAATTTAATTGAAATTTAAAATAAAATAATACAATATAAAATAAAATAAATTGGAACAAAATCAAATGAAAAATCAAATAAAAATTACAAATAGAAAAAAGAAAATAATAAAAAAACAAAAGAAAAACATGAGTATAATGAGATACATAATAATATCAAATAAAGTAAACTATATGATATGAAATCTGTACTATATAGTATAAGAAACATCGGTTTAGGGATTTGTAAAAATACCTTGAAAATTTTTCTCACGTATTACGATCGGCTCTGATATTTTAAGACAGTCAGCCTTTTCATGACTAATTTTCGCCCAAAATCGTTCACTTTTCACTCTTCGCTTATGTACACAACGGGCGGATGAAAAGATTTCGGTTGAATTTGTTTACGGGTGAATCTCGGAATAAGGCTAAAAATATCTTTAAAGTAAATTAAAAATTTTTCTGTTTATTTTATGTCAGATTCATTGAGAACTGGTCTAATGGTAACGCTTCTAATGCAATGGATTGTTCCAATCCAACAGGTAATTGCAAAGGATATTTTCTTTGCTTTTAGATTTGTCTATATAAGAATTTGTGTCTCAAATTTTCGAAAAAGTCATGCTTCCCCATACCTAACCTAAAAAGAACTGCTTCAGTATATCGTTTAAATTTTAAAACTTAACTTTGTATACTATGCGGTGCAAATCGATGGCTCAACTTATGATTACAATTATAAAGTATGATGAATTTAATTAAAATCGAGCTTAGACTGTATTGAAAACTTTTATCCAAACACAAATACATTTATGTTATGATAGCTTCTATTTTTTATTTTATTAAAATATTTAATTTCTGTTTCCCAGTCCAAATTTTTTTGTGTGTTTTATTTAAAAATTTATAAATTATGAGTAATTTTCAATAACTTAAAAATAGTTAAAATAGTAACTAGGTCGTGTGTGTATTGCCGGCGTAGTGGCGCTTAAAAGTACATAGATACATTGTAAATAATTTAGCACATAAGACTATATATTTAAGTCTATATGTATATACATACATACACTATACAAATATGTATTTATACAATCTTGTAAAATCTTTGTAACAAACGCAAGACCAGTGTCAGTTGTAGTGTTTCATTAAACTCATTGAAAATGATTTACATACATATTTCATGCATTCACATATGTATGTAGTTGCGTATGTTAATTGTTGCAATTTTATTTATATCTGCATAGTGGTAGTACATTTACACACATATACAACAACTCATATTTGCGTACATGCATACATTACGATTAATAAACATACATACATTTTATTAAACATTAAAATTATTTATGTTAAATTTTAAACAAGAAAAAGTTATAATGCGAATACAAATATAGTATTGTAAGTGGTTCTTACTTTCTTGAATGTAAGATGACAGTGCAAATATATATTCTTTAAAGTCTGTACGTATAACTGATTTATTAAAATAAAAAAAAGTTTCATTTACAAAAAAAAAAATATTGTAAGTTTAGCGTTTATGCAGTACATTTAATTAAAGGTAAATATATTGAAACTAAGAAAATGTATCTTAAAATTCTCGGGTGGGGAGGGGGGGGGTGGGGATCTCGTAAGCTCGTAAGTATAGCGTAATTTTAGACGCAAAAGAAAATATCTTTTTAACCGACTTCAAAAAATGGAGGAGGTTATCAATTCGTCGGAAAGTTGTTTTTAATTTTTTAATGTTTTTTTGTATGTTACCGCATAACTTTTAACCACGTGAACCGATTTCGATTATTCATTCTTTGTCGAAAATATGGTCCCGTGCTACTTTGGTTTAGATCCGATAATTGATTTATGAAGAAATTAACGGTACTCCTAAATTTTTATGTGATAATTTAAGTTGGTTGTGTTTTTTTGCTTTAAAATTACTATGCTAGGTTCGTAAAAGGACATTTGAATCGAAATTAATAAATGCTTGTTTTCACTATGCCAAATTCAATGGGATTTGTCGTTTGATAGGTGAAAATGTTTTGTCAAAAGGAATTAAAAAAAGTATATACGATTGATTTAGATCAGGGCTCGAATCGTCACATACGATATCGTATTACTCATCATTTGAAAACACATTTTTCGGATAATGACATAGGTGAACGTACTATTTATCCCATTCAGGTTATACGACTCACGTATCACGTAATTATCTTTCGTATGGGTTTCGATCCGTGAACGGATGTTACGATTCGAGCCCAGAATAGGTCTTCATGTGCTGCTAAATATGCTGTCTGTCAGGCTTTGAATAATAATGGCCCTTATTATAAGTTGCATTCAATTTTCGATCTTCGCTGGTTATCAAAGATTGAATGTGAAATTCGTATTATTATCTATGCAACCGTGTCGAAATTTCCGTTGAGTAGCGAATTTCTGTCGAACAGAATTTTGCTTTCGATGCTGTAGCGAAGTGTTAGGAAATTGTGAAAAATTTATGATTTTGCGTTTGTTTTCTTACTTTTTGGGCGGCTAGACACAAGTTTTAAACAATTTTTTATTAATTTCATGCAAGTCTAACGTCGTGAATACTGGAGACAAGCTGGTTTCACTTATGAAAGAAAATCCCATTACCCATTTGGCACGATCTCTGAGAACAAAACCGTAGAGCTGTTGATAGTTTTAAAATATTTTAAATATATTTGGATCGAGAGCATTGCTGCAGTAGGTTTTGTCGGAAGTTTTAAATAAATCTGTGGACGAATTTCCTAAATATATTGTATCTATGTCAAATAATATTCGAAAGACTAACCTTAACGTTTTCTACTCCTGGCCAGTTTACTAAACTGTCATCTTCTGACGAATCGACGAACCAGAACTCCGTTGTGCTCATTTTTACCAAGATTTTATAAACTCGCTTTCTTTTTTACTTCATTTTAATTTGCACAAATTTACATATCGTTGTTTAAAGTATAAAACCGCGTAACTGACATTGGCTGCCAAAAATTGGATTTGCTCACACAAGCTCTTGGCTCAATCCTTATTCATTCGTCCTGAAATCTACTTGCCAGAAATGCGATTTCTTTAAAAAAATTGAGAACCATTGTGAAATATTAGTGTTTTTACTCTCTAGAAAATAATTTATGCAACTTCACATACGCGGTTTTGCATTATCTTGATACGCGGTTTCTGCAGAGAAATACGCAGCATACAAAGCCACCCTTCGAATAGCTATGCGAGCGACAGTGGAACGATACCGGGAGATGAGGAGGGAGGTGAAACGTCTATGCAAAAGAAAGAGACGAGAGGCAGAAAGACGTTCCTCCACTTGACCAAGACGAGGTGAGAACGGCTATAAGGCGGCTTAAAAACAAAAAGGCGTCGGAGAAAGCGGTATACGGGCTGAGCTGTTCAAATCCGACTTCGAAGATCAGGTCGGGCACATGTACCAGCTACTAAGCAGAATTGGGTCTGATGAATACATGCCGGAATCTCAGTGTACTTTGTCCAATCCACAAAAAGGGAGATCGCGCCATTTGCGTCAATTACCTCAGAATTAGCCTTCTTAATTTTTTTACAAGGTCCTGTCGACGATACTATGTGGGAGACTGAAGCTCTGAACTAACCAGTTTTGGACCTTATCAGTGTGTCATCAGATCTAGTCAGGCCACCATTGACCAGATTTTCAGTGCATGTCAAATTCTGGAAAAGACACTCGATATGAAA